TGTGTAGGGAAGAATTTGATTCTGAAGTGGTTGGAACTTCCTGTATTGCTTTTAGATTGGGGATAGCTTGTACATTATGCAGTGTTTATGAAGTTTGGAGTCAGTAATGCAAGTTTACTGTAGTATGTATTATAAATTGTTTTTCCTTTTGATGTCGGGATTTATCATAGTTGCAGACTCTTTTTCTGGTTTCATTAAATCCAAATCCAATGTTCATACTTCATATTAGTACTACTATCTAGGTTAATGTTCTGCAACTGCATTAGAATAACCCAAAACACTCATTCTGGGATATGTTAACTGCAACTACCTCGGCAATTGTGGTAAAAAAATATGGTGATTTTCCAACACTAACTTTTTGATTTTCTATAGAAACCACTTTATGCATAATCATTTTTCCCCCAAATGTAACTATAAGCAGACAACTATTGATTATATTATTATATTTGGAATAGGAAAAGTAACAAGTTGACATTTATCATAGAAACAGAAAGTTCATCTCTAATATCCTATTCTTTTTATAAAACAAGGACAATAAACATAAAAGCAAAATAAAAGAGTAGTTCATCATATTTTCGACTTTTAATTGTTTAATTTGATCAAAATTGTTCGAGTTTTTGGTTGTTGCTAAATTGAATAGCACTCCTTTCCCTAAACAACTCATGTTTTTAGCAGCTATCATTGTTGAATTTTTTTTTCTTTTCAATAAAGGTTGAATTTATATGTTTTTCTCTTGTTTGAATATCCAGGCTGTTGTTGTGTTCATAATACTATCTTCTTCTCCCTGAAAGTAGTAGTATATTCCTAATAAACTACCCTTAACAAGTGTCAACTGATAACTACCTTATTTTTCTTTTTATTTTAAGGAAGAGTATGACAGAATATGATCCACGCTTGGTAGCTCCAACTTGCTTGTACCTGGCATCAAAAGCAGAAGAAAGCACAGTACAGGCTCGGCTTCTTGTATTCTACATTAAAAAATTATGTAAGCTGCTTGCTTATAAATTTGTCTTATTTTGCTTCATGTTGAATTCTGATTTTAAATGTGAATTTGTTTTCAAAGTTGTCTCATGCTATTATTATATTTCTTTTCTATGCTGAAAGCACAGTGATTTTGTATGCAGATGCTGATGATAAATATAGATATGAAATCAAGGACATACTTGAAATGGAAATGAAGGTTTTAGAAGCTCTTAATTATTACCTGGTTGTATACCACCCATACCGTTCACTATCTCCGTAAGTGTTTGATAAAGATTGCTTGTTCAGCTTTTGCACACAGGAGTGTTGAACTTATGAAGAAACAATTTTATTTGTTCACACTTTTCTTGGGGAGAAAGCACTATTTTAAGAATGTTGTCCACACAGCTGTGACTAATCTAATCACATAAAAGAGGAACTAAGGACATAATACAAACTGAATCACCTGGTTTAGGAAACATAATTGTTTTTTATCTTTCTAAAGGACATACTAACCTAATCAATTAAATAAGGAAAGAAGATATACAGAAAATAAAAAACTCACAAACATGTGAGTAACAAAAAAATGCACTATTCATTGTTCCTTTCTTCTGTCTTCAAATTTACCAAGTGTCAGCAAGTTGAACAAATACCAATAATGAACATTTTAGCTTGTTGGATCCTGTCTAAGTTAAATGTTGGTGATGGAAGAACTGGTTCAACATTCTTGCCATTTAGATTATATTCATTTATGATTTCTCACTGTCATTATAATGATAATTCTCCAGGTTGCTTCAGGATGCAGGTTTGAATGATCTAAACATGACTCAACTGACTTGGTAAGAGTCCTTCCTGTTGAATAGTTGAGACCAGTTTCTAAATAGGTTTTCCTTTCTATTATTCTTATTTTACAATTCCCATTTTATCACTTTATTTCTGCCCCTTCCCTTTTTAAGCTTTTGTTCTGTGTTTACTATTTTGTTAACTTAACGTTAAAAAAGAAAAATGACTTGGACCCTTGCATTAGAATTTCCCTTATTAGAAGGAAATAAAGATAAAATTAGCTTAGTTGGAGGACCAGGAACCAACACCAGCTTCTTTGCACTTCCTGTATCTCTCGATGAATTGTTTTCTTTAAAGAAAAAGAGGAAAAAACAAAGTATAGGTTAATGTGTTTGTCTGGTTTTGTAAAAGCTTGTAAGCAGGGTGTTGACACTCACTTGTAATTGTTCTCATTTGAATGTTTTCTAGAACATCTTTGGTTATCCCAGTTAGTTAGCACACACATCTCCTGTATACTCAACCATTACCCCTTTCACTGGCATCAATTAAGTGCTTCATGTTGATTTTTGACATGTTACATAACTACCATATTATATGAATGGTCATTTCTTTGCATATAAATCATGGAATTTTCTTACTGTTGTTGCTTTGTCAGAGTCTTCTCTCATTTTGTTTTGAATGTGAAGTAGATCCTTCAAGAAAGTTGCCTCAGTGCTGTAGATAGCTAATCTATTTATCCAGAAACCAATTTTATTGTATCACTATTAAGTGATTTTTTGTTGAGCTAGCAGCTATCTTGCTGACGCTGTTGGAATTGCAACTTCTACTTATTAGTAGTTTTGTTGGATTAAATTTATGAGAAAAAAAAATGTATTATGATGCTGGCAGGGGACTCGTAAATGACACATACAAGATGGACCTAATTCTTGTACATCCTCCACATTTGATTGCTTTAGCTTGCATATACATTGCTAGTGTACTCAGGGAGAAAGACACCACTGCATGGTTTGAAGAACTTCGTGTTGATATGAACGTGGTGGGTATTCCATTGTATTTCTAAGCACTTGTATGTTTCATCTTTATGTAGGCGTGTTAACCTGTCTGATATTTCTTTTCTCTTTTTTTTTTTCTTTCTTCAAAATTTCTTGATAAATTTGACAATAATCATAATTCATAAATTGCAATCTAAAACTTGATTGGTGATTGCCTGCTATGAATGCTGTGGAATGTGTGCACCCTGTATAGGATCAATTGAATAATCTTAAAATGAGAAAAATAGTGGATACAAATTTACATGGTTTGGCTTTAGGTGAAGATGGCAAATGAGTCACTAAATGAAAATGAAAAAGTTGCTTAATTCCACAATCTAAAGCTCACCAAAATACCTCCCATCTTTATGTCCTATTATATCGGGATCGCCCAAATTTTTTTGAAATATTTTACTCAAAAGGCACGCACATCACTGCTAAACCTCTAGTGTAAAACATCTCAAATTCTCTTAAGACCGGCATTAAATGAGATCTGATGCAGGGGATGATGCCCGTGGGATGTCTTGCAATTACAAAGTTACATGAACAGCCTTTATGCTTACTGGTCCTTAGTGAAGCCACTGGCTTGTCTTAAAGCCAAATAGTCCTAATGTTATTTGTCCTATACAATAGTGAAGAGTTTAACTTCTGAAACCTGGCCTTCCATGCAGCCAAAAACTCGGCTAATAACATGACTAACAAATTTTAATTTTAAGGATTAATTTGGTGCCCCCACAATTTGTGGAACTAAAATGGTAGTTTACTAATTACCAAAAGAAAAAATGGTAGTTTACTCAAATACTTGGGTGGTATAACTTTTTAAGATGCAGTATATTATGATAGAGGTCCAAAATGCATTATTGACTTGTCCTGTGCACCAGTTTAAAATCACTTTGGGTCTGTATGTATAAATTTCTCTAGAAGCAAACCTGGGAGAGAAAAAAATACGAAGGGAAATGAAATAAATTTTTCCATTAAATAAAATTAGCTTATGCATAAACTACTTGTATTTTTTTTAAAAGCTATATGGAAGAACTTTTACAAATTAGTTTACATATGAGCTAATTTTAGCTTAATAGAGTAATTTATCTCATTATTCTTTTCTATATTTTCTTCTTAAGAATGTTTTTGAAGAAGTTTATTCAAACACAAGCTTTGTTGCAAATTCCTGAACATGCACTAGACTGGAATTCTACTCATTTGAGTGATAAAGAAAAACATCTGTCTAAGTATTTGTTTATGTTCTTTTGACAGGTTAAAAACATATCAATGGAGATACTTGATTTTTATGAAAGCAATAGAATGTTCACTGAAGAGAGAATCAATGCTGCTCTCCAGAAGTTGACCTTGAGGCCCTAAAAGCTTACTGGAGATGAATCAATGCTGAATATGTGGAATGAAATTAATGCTAGTGGATGGTTGAATGATTTTCTTGGATCACTTCATGATTTATGTCAATGACTAAATAGTAAGGGCACTTATGTTGGGTTCAATTCAAAGTGTCCTTTTAAGAGCAAAAAAGGAGGAATGAAAAAGGCGATTCTTGGTGAGCATCAGCAAGACTCCCATCTAGTTCATATATTCTTATCCATTTATTGTCATAAATCGACTGCACTAAACACTACTACATTTTCCTTTTTACTTTTTACCATTATTTTTAGTGAGATGAGCAATTTATAATTGTTTTATAGGTATTAATTTCTCTACCACTCATTCACTCTGCAAGACAAATGCAAAGTACATTTTTCCTCTATTAATACAAGTCAGCCTAAACATTGTTTAAGCACCTAGTTATATTTTATATACTTTCATGTTTGGTTTGATTACACTTTTAGTCTATTATAATTAATTGGCGATTTTGATACCATAATGTTTTTTTACGGAAAATTTACTCTTAATTTTAATTTCTACAATCAAGTTCTTTTGCTAGTTTTTAATCTATTTAAAATTTAATTATCACATGTTCCAATTATATCCGTAGTAAATGAAGATTTGGAGTTTACGTGTAGGTTAATCGGAAAATTGACTTAATTATAGCAATTAAAAAAATTAGGGATTATAGAGTCAAAATAATAATTATGCTTAAGATCTTCTAAGTTCTATTATATATTGTAGGTGGCAAAATGGGTTAACTGAACTAGAATATACATGTTAAAATATAGAGTTTGAGTTTTATATGTTGGACATGAATTGAATATGAATTTTTTTAATCCGATTTGATAAGGCTCACATTATAATTGAGTTTGGACTAGATTAACGTGATTAGGTTTGGGTTATTTGATTATTTTTAAATTTTGATAAAAGAAAATGATGCATTCTTATTTATGATTTTATATTAACACTTATACAAGTTTATATTAAGAAAAAAATTTCAATAATATATTATTTTTTTTATATTTAATATTGTTGATTTATTTTTCTACAATCATGCTTAGATTTTTGTTGACTAGTAAGAAAAATAATTATTGATTAATTGTTCACAATTTATTTTCTCTAATATATTTTTGTATAGTTTAATTATATGATTTTTTTTAAATTTTTACATTATATAGATTAAATAACAATTTTTTGATATCCCTTCAACAAAAATACTCTGGGTGGTCAACCCACCAACTTGTGCTCCAGGCTACTTAAGGAAGGATGTTTATGGATTGAATTTTTGAAAAATTCATACCAGCTTGAACAGATCTACTTTATAAAAGTGGATCGATTAACTGATCCATTTTTTATAAAGTAAATCAATTTGAATTTTTAAAAAATATGAATCAAGTTTTAAAAATTGAATCAATTCAGTTTAGTGAGATTATCCACTTTATATCCATATATGATCAGTTTTTTAAAAAAATTAAAACGAACTAAACCAATCCACTTTGTGCAAATGGATCGAGTAACTTACTTGGTTTTGTAAAGTGGATTGGGTTGAATTTTTTCTCAAAATGGATTGGTTTTTTCAATATGGATCAGATTGATTATGAATCAATACAGATTAGTTTGAATTTTTTGTATACTCCTAAGACCACCACTACTCCTCTATGTGTGTGTGGATGTGTGTGTGTATATATATATAT